ACGAAGGAGTATAAACTCAGAAAATCGTATGGAAATGCTGAGAGGAAGGAGTGCACTGTATAGCCAATTTGTTGAGCGAATTGTGTGTTGTGTGTTGAATGTCTTTCTTCAACATCTGCTGCACATATATATAGCAGCCAGTGTTGAAGAAGACCAAACGTCCACCCTCCATGGTGGAGCAAGCATTAGCTTGTTTGTGGAGCAAGCACTTCATGTTTGTGGAGCAAGCACTTCATGGTGGGAAGAGCATTAGGCGGCTGCCAAATGGTCAATACATGGATTGGAAAATATCCGTTACAAATGCGGATAATCTTACGTTAATATTTACTATTAACAAATAAATTTGGTCTAAAAAATTAATCAAGACGACGGCGCGAGGCTTGCTTTCTTCTTAACTCTTTAAGAGCTACAAGTAGAGCAATTATATATATACCCACCAAAAATGTCTTCCTCTTCCAATATGGGACAATGTCTCATTGTCAAGAGGGGGAAACTTAAAATTTTACTCAAAATTTCATTTTCCCTCCATTTCCCATTCACCCTCATTTTAAGAATATTTCATCTTAAAAACAAAACCTCAACACATCTAACACTGGTATGTATTATATATTATAAGAATATTTTTATTGCAATTAAGTGGATGATTTAATGAAAATTACAAGGCTGACTGGTAAAAAAGAGCAGATAAAAAGTGAATTAATTATAGATGCCTACATATTAATTGTTCTTTTCCACATTTCAACTATTTAATCCTCCTTCTTCCCTTGACAATGCACAATATTTCTGCATCTCTCTCCTTTTGTTTTCTCCATCGTAAGTAGGTTGGATCACCTCTCTCTATCTCTCTATATATATCACAAATTCTCTATCATTTTTCTAAGCTATGCTTGTTAGATGGTGTTTAATTTATATATGTACATATGTTTCTTATAATCGTGGTGTACTCGGGCTTGCTTGCGCGCACTCGACTAATCCACATGATATCTGCTACCTCCCACTAGCACATGCACTATTTTTTTCCATTAAACCTTGGATAGATAAAACTTACTTGGTGGGCGTTTGGACAAAAAAAATTGTGAAATTTCAAAAAAAAAAAAAAGTAAAAATATTTTTAAAGCTAAAATGGTATTTAAAAATTAGAATTGTGTTGGATATTTGGAACTGTTTTTTAATTTTTTGTGAGTGATTTGAAGTAAATTTTGAAAAATAATTTTTTTGAGTTTTTCAAATTTTGGACAGAGGATATGGGATAATACCAACAATCAAATCCTTTATTATTCACTGCAAACGTTCAGAAAATGAGGAATCTGTTTCAGCTAGCTGGAGCACTTTTCAACCAATTGATATGATCAAGGGAAAGGCTAAAATAGGGATGCTCCCATAATTCATTGCTCAAAAGTCTTTCTAAAAAGGGAAGCATTTTGATGATGAGGCCGCTAAAATATGAAAGAAATGATCTCCTGTGTCCGCTTACAATTTGAATTAACTGAAGTCTATAGGTGCCAATAGTTAGCTAGAGACCTTTTCTATCTCCTCTTCCTTTTTTTTAAACCCCTACTCCGTATAATTTCAATCACACACTTCAACTTGTATAAAATATAGTTTTAAACCCCTCTGACCATTGACCAAGTTAATGTGGCCTTTGTTTTACTGAGTCAAACAAAATAAGTGATTGCACGCTCCTAAAAACGAGTAACTATAAAAAATTTAATTAGAAAATAATAAAAGAGAAAAATGAAAAAAGGAGAAACAACACTAGCCATTATCTCGCCCCTCTCTATCCCATCCGCTTCTTCTTACCCCTAGATCCCTAAAAATCCGTTGAAATTGAGATTGTCATGTTCGAGGAAAACCAGTTCAACAAGTCAAACATTGTGCGTAATAATCAGAGACAATAGTCATCCACTTTCAACATTACCAATTATCAGAATGACAAGAACTATTAGCATTACCAATTATTATAAGAAATCAACAAAGAATGGACATTTCAACCTCCACCCACCCCACACGCACAAAAAGGGAGAAAGGAAAGGTAAAAGAGCGAGTGAACATAAAGTTACTATAATGTTTTAACCAGAAATCAAAAGAAATGTCAAATTTACAATCACAAATGTTATGTTACACCAATAAAGTACCAACTGAATCAAATGGCAGGAGGTAACATCTACGACATATTGGTCTAGCATGTAACTATATTTCACAAAACAACATTCTAAGACAATAAAATCAGTCCAATACACTAGCATAACACCTCAAAAGAAGTAGCTGATCAGTTTCTTCCAAGTGGCAAAGATCTGCAAGATTAAGACTCATTGAAGTCAGTCTTTCTTGAAGAAGTGAAAATAGAGGCATAGATTTTCTTTGTAGCATGAGCTGGAGCTATATCAACAGCCTTATACCGCTTCCCAAACCCATTACTTGCACTATTCTTCACATCCTTCACTTCAATCTTACTGTTAATGCCAACTTTAGTTTTCCCTTCCACTTTCCTCGCATCCTTTTCTCATAGCTTATCCTCAATCCCATATTTCATCCCACTCAAGAGTGGCACCTCCAATGCCTATTCATCATTAACGACTACGTCCTCATTCTTCCCTTTCTCCACCTTCGTATTATCCTTCAATTTCACTCTTTCATCCTTCATTCTATCCCTCAAAGCCGCAACCTCTTCTTCGCTCCCGTTAATCACAAGATTGTCACTCTCAACAAACTCCTTGTAGCAAACCAAACAACCCGAGGATTTCACTTCCTTCAAAGCTTTAGCACTCAAAACATGTCCACAACCCCTCAAAGCAAAGAAATTGTACTTTTCATTGAACTCCAACCCAGTTATCGAGCACTGAAACCCGGTTCCCTCACCATCACCAACCCCTCTATCCTCTTTCCCTCGAATCACCGACAGCTCAACCAGAATCATATCTTTCGACCCCTTTATGTACCCAAGCTTGTCAACAACAACATGATGCTTCAACGGCTCATTAGACAAAGCACAATTCAACCATTTCGACAACCTAATTTCATTCGAGTCAATTTTATCGAGTTTCTTTGTTACATATATCTTAAGATAACAGTCCCGGGACTCTGCCTTTGTGGCACCGCCATCTCCACCCCCACCACGGAGGCGAAGGCGGAGGACTAAAGTGGAAAATGGGCTAATCCCAGAACCATTTAATAGAGTTGAATCCTTAGTGGATTGACCATTGAATGTAAAATAGATAGAGTTATCCTTAATTGAGCCTAATGATTTCTGGATTTTGTCCATTAAATTGGATTTGAAGTTTTACAAAGTGAAATTAGGGTTAGGGTTTTCGAAATTTAGAACATGGGTGGGGATCTGAAGCTCTGGTGATTGAATAAAAATAGGGAAATTACGCATTTGGGGATTCATTATTAGGGTAATTACGAATTGAAATTAAAGAGAGTGTCTGAAAATTTTACCTGAAATGAAGAAAAATCGAAGAGCGAATAGGTGCGAAGCTTTGGTTCTCGAAAGGGGAAAAGATTGGAGTTTGATCTTTGTATTTATATTTTAGTCTTCTGATATATGTTTGACGAAACTACGTGCGTCGACATTGACGAACACGTGGCAACTGTTGGTTGGTGAGCGAGAAATGATGCATTTGGTAACGGAGGCCAAAAGACGACCCGTTTGTTTTTATTTTTGGGCCGACATATGAAGTGGCGAAGTGCACTGTTTAGCCACTTTTAAACCCACTATTTAAAATATATTCATAATTTATAATATATTTAAATATTGGGATCTTTACATAAATAGTCGATCATATTCATTGTTTACTTTTTCTAGCCATAAATATAGATTATATATTAAATATATATAATTATACATATATAATACATAAATTATGCATATATTATACCTTCATCGGCTATTTTTAGTTTAAGTGGTTGGGTGAGCGGCTATTTGGGTTAATTCTTCTTAAATATTAGCCAATTTACCTAAACTTTAGGACTAAGTATCCTGAATTTGGAATTGAGGATTTAGTGTCCTGAATTTTTTAGGTGTTAACTTGAAATTAAAGACCAAGAGTCCTGAATTTCTGAACTGTTAATTTAAAATTCAAGATATAAGATTCGAACTTCTAAACATAATTTTCGAGCTTTAGGACACGATGTCCTGAAGTTTGAACTTTGAGGTTTAAATTCAGGACGTTGTGTCCTAAAGTTTGAGCGAATTGACTAATCATTAAATATATTGTAAATTATGGGTATATTTTAAACAGCATGTAAAAGTGGCTACCTACTACCAACAAACTGAGGCCCATTTTTAAAGCATCAACATAGGGGGAAGGGCACAAATAGCCGATTTGAGGATCGCTATTTAAGGTATAGCCGTAGTTCATAAATATTTGCAAGTTTAACCATTCATAATCAATTTAGATTTATTGGTCTAAAGTTCGAAATATTCAAAACTTGACAGTCTGAAGTTGAGTTTGTCAAAGCCTAACTTTTATTTTGTTAATGCATTAAACTTAAGCCACTTTTAAATGGGATTTAATTTACATATAAAGCGTACATTATTATATTAACGACGTGAACAAATTATAAATTCCCCATATGAAGTAATAGGATGTTTCAAATACCTTTACTTATTCGACTTTGACATCCCGGTCTCCCTATTACGCCTAGTTTCAATCATGTACTTCAACTTGTATAAAACATAAGTTTTAAATTCCTCTGGCGATTGACCAAGTTTATGTGGCCTTTGTTTTGCTGAGTCAAACAAAATAAGTGATTGCATGCTCCTAAAAGCGAGTAACTATACAAAATTTAATTAGAAAATAATAAAAGAGAAAAATGAAAAAAAAGAAAATTTAACACCAGCCATTATCTCGCTCCTCTCTATCCCATATGATTCTTCTTACCCCCATATCCCTAAAAAAAATGCCATTGAAATTGAGATTGTCATGTTCCAGGAAATCAGTGCAATCAGTCAAATATTGCGCGTAATAATTTGAGACAATTGTCACCCACTTTCAAGGCGGTCATCACACTATCTCACAGCTATTGAGAGGTATCAGAATGACAAGAAGCATTACCAATTATTATAAGAAATCAACAAAAAATGGGCATTTCAGCCTCCATCCACCCCACACACAAAAAAAAGGAGAAAAAGAAAGGTAAAAGAGCGAGTGAACATAAAGTTACTATAGTGTTTTAACCAGAACTCAAATGAAATATCAAATTTACAATCACAAATGTTATGTTATAGCAATAAAGTACCAACTGAATCAAATGGCAGGAGGGAACATCTACGATACAGTTATCTAGCATGTAACTATATTTCACGAAATAACATTCTAAGACATTCTATCAATTGAGGGGGAAGTGCATAAATAGCCGATTTGAGGATCGCTATTTAAGGTATAGCTGTAGTTTATAAATATTTGCAAGTTTAACCATTCATAATCAATTTAGATTTACGGGTCTAACGTTCGAAAAGTTCCAAACTTGACAGTCTAAAGTTGAGTTTGTCAAAGCCTAACTTTTATTTTGTTAATGCATTAAACTTAAGCCACTTTTAAATTGGATTTAATTTACATATAGGGTGTACGTTATTATATTAATGACGTGAACAAATTATAAAATCCCCATATGAAGTAATAGGATGTTTCAATTTGTATTCATATTGAATATTACGGTTCATGACAATATTGGGTATATATGCCATATTTGGTAAATAAGGTTTATTACATTGATCTTCGAATGTGATGATTTTTCTCAATTTCAAAAAAAAAAAAAAAAAAAAAAAAAAAAAAAAAAAGACATGTTGCATCGTTTTGTTACTTCATTTTTTCACTATCTACACAATGATTTGTTGCACAAAATTGCACGCACACATTTGTTTAGGATTAAAGCTTCACTTTTATTTACTTCTTATTTTTTAGGCGATTTACTTTCTTTTTTAACGTGTCAAGAAGAATTTTTTTATTTTATTTTAAAATTCGTACTTTATACCTGACACTTTCCTAACATGTTTAAGATCACAAGATATAGAAGATATTTTGGGTTTTAAAGTCTTTTTGATATTCTTAAACTCATAAAATAAAACATATAAAGTATGCAAATAACATAGTAAAGCACGAATGTAACTATAGGCCGCGGATTCGAATTTGAAGAATATGTACGCTCTGATAGCGAGTCTAAAATCTCACATTGTAGGTTTTCTACGACACAATTAAACCGAAATATCAGTCATGGGTTTCAGTTACCCTATAGTTAGAAAACCAAAAAAGGCCTAGATATATTCATTCAACCATTATATCAAAAAACAAAAAGAGAAGTGTTTTGTTTTAACACGTTTCGTAAAACATGCATATCCCAATTTCTTGTTGAATGACAATTGTATTATATGCATGCTAATCTCCTGCATCATTTTTTTTTTCCACTTCAATTAATTAAACCTCAAAAAGAAAAAGTAGATCACAAGATTAATTACTTGGTCAAATTATCTTTAATTTGATCTGCATTTAATGTGGAGTCATCTCTTCTACTTAATTAAGATCTTACCTCATATATATATATAGTGCATCTAACACTAGTATGGATTATATATTATAAGAATATTTTTATTGGAATTAAGTGGATGATTTAATGAAAGTTACAAGGCTGAATGGTAAAAAAAAAGCAGACAAAAAGTGAATTAATTATAGATGCCTCCATATTAATTGTTCTTTTCCACATTTCAACTATTTAATCCTCCTTCTTCCCTTGACAAAGCACAATATTTCTGCATCTCTCCTTTTCTTTTCTTCATAGTAAGTAAGTAGATCACCCCTCCCCTCCTCTCTCTCTCTATATATATTCTCTATCATTTTTCTAAGCTATGCTTGTTAGATGGTGTTTAATTTATGTATGTACATATGTTTCTTATAATCGTGGTGTACTCGGGGCTAGTTTACGCGCACCTCGACTAATCCACAGGATATGTGCTACTTCCCACTAGCACATGCACCAGTTCTGTCCATTAAACCTTGGATAGATAAAACTTACTTGGTGGGCATTTGGACATAAAAATTGTGAAATTCCGGAAAAAAAGTAAAAATATTTTTTAACTGAAAATGGTATTTGAAAATTAGAATTGTGTTGGAAAGTTGGAGATGTTTTTTAATTTTTTGTGAGTGATTTGAAGTAAATTTTGAAACTTTTTTTGGAATTTTTCAAATTTGCGAAAAATCCGAAATTCAACTTCAAGTGCAATTTGAATCATGGCCAACCATTAATTCCGAAAATAAAGTAAAAGAAAATCGGAAAAAGTGATTTTTTTTCTATTGCCAAACAGGCCCTTAGTGTTTTTGCATCCGCTGAAATTTAAACCTGAGTATCCGCCTTTTTTCTAGGTTAATCAATCAACTCTAATGGCTTCCGAAAGATCTCCATTTGCAAAACCATCAAAGAAATCAAGGTCATGTAACTTAAAACTCAGTGATACTAAGGACAAAGAAGTAGTGGAGAAGGTTGCCAAAGTACCAAAAAGAAATGGAAATATCATGAGGCCAAATGAAGCTCTAGCATCAGCAGTTGAGAATCCAGCTTTGCTGCGTGCCCTTGACCATATAAGATCTGCTCCTGGTGCGGGTAAATTTTTACCGTCTTCAATTCATTATAAATTTTCTCTTTTTTTTCTAAATTTTGTGTTATATATATGTTACCATCACAGTTGATAGTGGCGGATCCAAAAATTTAAAAGTATTAATAATATAAGATTGCTACACACGTTGAATTCAAATTACTTAAGAATTAAAGTAACTTTTATGCAACCTTTTTCGTTACACTAGAAGCTTTTATCACGTGAAAGAGATTTAACAATTTATATATACATACCAAAATTTTGTTTTTACCCTATTTGTGTGCGGAGCATAATTTTTCGACTAAGAGAATTCAATTGGACCTCATTCCGACCATGTAGCTCGCACCTCATAACGTGACTATACATCTCACATTATGTATGATCATTCCTTCTGTACAAGTTATGGATTCATTCGAGCCTACTAATAGTCTGTTTGGCCAAGCTTCTCTAAAGCCAAATTATTTTTATTTTTTTTTCAAAGTTGAAGTTTGGCCAAGTTTTTAGAAGGAAAAAAGTATTTTTAAGTAGAAGAAAAAAAAAATAGAATCCCTCCAAAAGTACTTGTTTGAAAAGCACTTTTGAGAAAAATATACTTAGAAACAATTTTTAAAAGTTTGGTCAAACACTAATTGCTGCTCAGAAGTGCTTTTCAAATTAATTAATTTGCCAAACACAAATTGTTTCTCACCAAGAGTATTTTTGAGAAAAACACTTTTGAGGAAAAATACTTCTCAAAATAAGCTAATTGTTGCAACTTGACCAAACAGGCTATAACTTTGTCTCAGATCTTGTATATATGTTAAAAGATCTGCTCCCCGGTAAATCAAATGAGCTATGGTATAATTTCACACTCGGAACCTATAATGTTCAAATCTTAGATCTACCTTTGAGTAAAATGATTGTTCAATCTTCTTGCAG